TTCATGACGCCGGACGTCCTGATTCAATGTCCTTGGCTGGCCGCATGTTTTAAGCACCGTTCGATCTGCGTTTGACATCTCTCTGCAGCAGCAGCGGGGGCACGCCGCCGACACAAATCCAATGTGCTGGGGCAAGCCACCAACGCGGGCCGGGGCACGCCGCCTGAGCCACATCATGGTTACCAAACTCACAAACTTACGCGGCAGAGCGCGCAAAAGCCCAGCGTTGCGGCTCAGTTGGGCTCCCTGTCCGTGGGGTCGTCCTCCTCTTCGGTCTTCAGTGGCCGGCGGCGCGGCAGCCTTAGCCTTGACTCGTCTGCCCTGCTTGGGGGCTGGTCCGGCGCCTGGAGCAGGCGGCGCAGCTTTCAGCATGTTCTCCACCAGGTCGACCAGCGCCGAGCCACTGTTCGGCGGCCCTGCCCCCCCGTTCTTGGCAGGAGGAGGCACTGGGCCAAGCTGCCCAGCCTGGCTTTGCTCACCGGCGGCGCTTTTCCTGCGGCCTTGCCCCTCGTCAAGTTGCTGTCACCGCTGTCCGCCTGCGTCGTGGTTGGCAGGCACGGCGAGACCACTTGGTTTCAGACTGGCAGCAGAATAAACACTGCGTCTGTGCATAAAACAAAGCACTGGCCTGCAGAGCGTCGCGCAGCTCTGCAGCGTAATACTGACTGCTTGGGCTCTGCATGTGTGCCCACAAGCGGCCGAAGAGGCACTGCCGCACAACATTCATGTGAAGACTATTTTCCAGGCTGAGGTAAGCCGCCAACGCCGTCGCTGCTGCGGCTGCCTTGCTTGTCAGTCTGACCCTTGCCCGCCGCGCTGCCGCCTTTGAGGCCCTTCCCGCCAATTGGCACAACCACGCCCATGAAGAAACCTACGATGACGCCAGCAACGAGCGCAATCGACATGGCTGCAGCTTTCACGCCAGTGATGGGGCAAGCCACCAAAAGACGGCCGCGCCTGCTAACTTGTCTAAGAGCCGCCAAGCGAACACAGCGCGTCTTGACTTGCCAAGCACGGATGGTTTTGCAAGCGGGCCGCAGTGACCAAACCTTGGAAGCAATAGAAAACAACTGCCTTCTGAGCTGTCGCCATTGAGTCTGTGTAACCGCACAATCAGGAAAACTTTAAGGTCACTAGTCCAGATTTGGCGTGGGGCCAGGCCCCACTAAAAGTCTGGTAGTAACAATGCGCGCGCCCGCAGCTTGCAGGCAGACTTCCCACGAAAGTCTTGTTTTTCGAGCCGCCCTTACACACGAAAGCCTTTCTGAGAACGCTTCCGGAAAAGGGCGGTTTCAGAAGCGCCCCTTCTGAATCCTTACTGCTGGATGGGGCATGCCACCGAAACCAGCGTAAGTCATTGTGGGCGCCGGGCGGGGCAAGCCACCGAACCCGCAAGCGCACACCGCAACAAGCATATCTGCTCTGCAAAAACACATCTATCCGCTTGAAAAATATGATCCGCAAGAAACATACGACTTGGGCGGCTCTTGCGTCGCATCACGCATGTCCGTTCGTCAGCTCACAGCTTTCCTGTGAGACTCTTTTGCCCTGAGACGCCTTCCCTCTTGCTTGCAGAAGGCGTAGGGGCCGGGCGGGGCAAGCCACCGAACCCGCAAGCACAAGCACATGCAACAACTTCAATCGTTGGCGGGCTTCACTTTGGAGGAAGGGGGAGCTGGGCACCCTATTGCTGGATGGGGCATGCCGCCAAAACCAGCGAAAGGATTTGTTTAAGGGGGCCGGGCGGGGCAAGCCACCGAACCCGCGCAAGCAAACGCAACAACGTCAATCATTGATGGGCTTGGGAGGAGGGGGGGTGGGGCGGGGCAAGCCACCGAGCCCTCAAACAACAAACGAGATGAAAAAAAATAATTCCGTTCCGACTCTCCGAAGGCGAGCAGCCAGCGAAAAACGATGCTGCAGGAATCAAGCCTTTCGCAACAATGGGCACACAGGCGCATTATTATTGTCCCGTCCTGCCCCCCCCCTTCCCACCGAAAAACAACTTGAAACCCAAACAATTAACTTCTCTAAAGTCAACCTCAGCGACATAAATCGAGCAACAAATGCCCGCGAAAAACTGGAAAAATGCAAAATGCAAAAAAAACTTTAAAAACATGAACAATTGCCAGTTCAGGCGGGAATACACACTCCCTCAGAGGCATAGGTGTCCAAGCCCGCACTTCCCGAAGTAGCCCGCGTCGGGATCTTGGCATTTTCGCTTCTTCCATCGCTGCTCAACCGGATCAACTTCGACCGGCATAGCACTTGCGACCTTCGTGAACGCGCCGTTTGGATACCAGGCTCCAACGATTGCCTCACACATTGCACTTGGATAGAGAGCAGTTGTCGGGGTCACCGATCCCTCAATGCGTGCATGAAGGTAACCCTTCTCGTGCTGGCATTTTCGACCCGAGAGTTCATCAATGAGCTCCTTGGAGGTCGTCGCAACCTTCCACTGCTTCCTGATCGGCACACCGTCCTTGTCCTGCATTCCGAAATCACACCCGTCAAAATCAACGGTCTCGACATCAGGATCAGCAAGAAACCTCTGCATGAACGGTTGCTTCCATCCAAGGCAGTGTCTAGCCTAACGGCTCGGGAGGCCCGCAGGAATGCTGCAAACATCACCTGAGAGTTCCTTCTCAGATCATTCAGGTGTGATGCAAACTCAGCACCGTGAAGTGAAAGGTTCACATACTGCCATGTACTCCACGGTCCACACGGAATTGACGCCCAGAGATCGCACCCAGGATTATCCTCGATGATCGCAATGAGCCGACTAATGTCCTTAGCCTTGGTGATGTCAAATGAGCCAATGTGAACGCGAACTGCTTCGCCGCCGCACTCCGTCATCACCGCAGACAGACGTGAGTCGGGCTCGCACGCAAACTCAATGAGGAGCTTGCGGCCGGGCGCTGGGGCAGCCGGGTCCCTCTCAACATGTTCTCGACGCCGTTCTTCCCTTAGAGATAACTCCCGTTCGCCAAGTTTCTGGGGTGCAAATTTTCCAAAGTTAAGCAAAAATCCTGATTTCGGGGGTCTCAATTTTCTAAAATGGAGGGAAAACACAAAATCCAAAATTTCGCTTGTTTCGGGTACAAACAAAACGAGCAAGGCTAAATGGAAATCTCAGACGCCTGGGTCGCAATCTCGGTAGCCAAGCGATCAACCTTGTCCTTCATCTGCTGATTCTCATCATGCCATTCCCGACGCATGGAAATCACCTGGCCATTCAATGACCTGATCTGATTTGCAAAAGCGTTGAGAGTGTTCACAACAGAGCTAGAGGCCTCACCTCTCTCAAGCATCTCCTGGATGCGCAAATCGAAAACCTCCTTACTCCTGGCGTCACCGGATTCCCCAGAGGAATGAGATCTAAGAGCCGGAGGGGTCGATATCTCGATCCTCTCAGGAACCCTTTCAACCCTGGCGCGCCCCCTGGGGTCGGGAATAGGATCATCAGTGATTCTGAGCAGCGTGTTCGCTATCGCCGGATCTGGGATTAACATGAGACTCAGGAGTTGAGTGAATATGAATGTCAGCAGGATCAAACATGTCCTCATCCTGCGGCGTTGAACCTAACGGTTCAGGACTAGCCCTCGCCTTCGACCTATCGGTCTCTCCAAGCACTGCGTTCCCTGCTGGCTGATCCCCACTGGGGGGTGAATTCATTGCTAGACCTTAGTGGTTCGAGGTCGCTGAGATCTCGCCCTAACGGGCTAGCGATCGACGGACGATCCTCGATTTCGAGTGCACTAGCAAGCCTACCGTCTCTCGCGCCTGCTTCAACCACATTGGCAGCCCGTTCGGTGATCCTGGACGAACCAGTGCCCCGGTTCACATCCTCAACCCTCTGATGCAAAAGTGATGTTGGGAAAAGGGGGAACATTCGGGGCAGGATCAAATGCGGGAGGACCTATCGGTCCTCTCCGGTCATGGATAGCCTCAGAACGCCCCGGCTGTCTCTGGCCCTTTCTCTCCCACTCCGGGTGTCCCAGACCCCTGCTTCGCGCTACTGCCCCAACCTGCGGCTGATGTTAACAGAGCATCGTATCCGATGCCTGCAAACGTCCTCTCCTCGTGCTCATCAAACTGACCTGGATTTTGAGAACCGGTGGATCGACCCGAGATATCTCTCGGAGCCAAAACCATGGTTCCCGGTCCTCGCGGCCTGTCCTCGAACTCATCCGAGGCCCTGGAACAAGAGACCTTGGGGTCGAGTGGGCATGGCCTCCGGGTCGTCCGACTGATGAAGTCCAAATGTCCTTGCCTGAAACCTGATTCGGAGCCGCCCCTATCGGGGCGAGCTCTTTGTCCTTGCTCATCATCGGTGGCCTGACGGAAAATGCGATCTTCTCCATCGTCAGTGTACCTGCCACGGCTTCTGGGTGTGTCCCTATCAGGATCATCACCCCTGCGATCCTGACCTGCTGAACCTGCCTCAAATTCCTCGAAGTCATAGTCCGGCAAGTCCTCACCTGATCGGAGACCACCTAGGATAGCCTCCTCATCCACGACACTCCTATGAGAGCGTGGGGTCGACGTCATTGAGCTTGTAGTTGATGGTCTCAAGCGCGTAGGAAAGTCCTACGGCTGATAACCTGTGATTCGGGCACGAGCCTGTGCCCAGGCAATGGGTAAGTTGGGGTAAACAAGCCACGAAAGAAGTTCCCCAAAAGCAAACCAATCCCCGGTCCCAAAGATCAGGGTTTCCCACACACCAGAGAACAACAACCAAAAGAGAAAAGGGTTAACCCGCAACCTTGATCGACGACAGGCCGCACGAATGGTCCCTACCAACCAGGCGGCGGCCCGAGGTCTCTTTCTCCCCCGAGATGCCGTCGGTCGACGCAGGTTCGGCGACGCCCATCCGAGGCGCGACGGAACCCGTAAAATCTTGAGCCAAACATCACCGGTCAGTCACTACCGCGACGTCCCTGGTGATGGTTTAAATCATGGCTAATCACATGAAATACCGCCAAATTGAATCTGCAATCCTTCAGCATCCATGTGCATCTCGTACCAAAAGACAATGGCGGTGACTTTGCCTGCAGGCACTTTGCTTTGAGCACTTGAGCTTTCACCACGCGCGCTCAGCCATTCCAAACACACCAAGCAAAGGAGCCTGATGCAATGGGTGTGAAGGTGATGCTATGCGCCTCGCATTTATGTTGCTCAAACGTGAAGTCCGCCAAAGGCGCCGACATTCGGCATCTCGTTCTTCTCGAAGTCGAACTTGAGCACCTCGCTCTGAGATTTGGAATCCGGCAAGACAAAGATCTGCGTGTGCCAGCCTCAAACACGTGGGACATCTGCCGCGCAGTGCCCTCAGCCAGGGCAGTGTCGAGGTCCGTCCTGCCACCAATACGAATGGAGACGGCAAGAATTCTGTGTCTCCGCACATCAAGCCCGTGCGATAGTGATTGAACGCGGAGAGGTTAAACCTAGGCTTCGGGAGTGCATCTTGTCAGATTCGGGTGTCTTGAGGCGTCTGCCCCTCGTAGTTGGTCAAGTGCTCGCCAAACCTCTGTCCAAAGATTGACACCAGCCGTGGGAACCAGCCAACTCAGCCAGCAACTCAAAAGCTGCCGCCCAAATCGTCGCTCTGCTAGGGATCACCTACCGGCAGCGGCCAGGGCGAGAGAGTAGCTCTGAAGTCATTGCCTGATGCTCGAAGGCATTGCACATCTTGATGCGCGCCGCGTTCAGCAGCACCAGGATGCCCTCACCTCGATCTCCCGTTTCCCTGAGAGTCCTTTGGCCCGACATGCGAACCCGACTTCCCAGGGTTGTGCTGTGCTTGGAAAATCGAATCTTCCCCATCCGCACTCTGGGCCGCACACCCAGCAGTCCAGCGTCAAAGAGCTCGCACACGACAAGCTGCGCTCGCTGCGGCTGGCCTTCCAGCACCATGCCGCGCATGTCACATGCGCGGATCCCGGCCAAGGCCGTTGCTCGGAAGCTTCCGCACGTCCTGTCTCGTGCAACGGAGCTGGCTAGCAAATGCATCACACGCACCACACCGCCTCCGAGCAGAGGAAGACATCGCGGTCCAGGCAGTTGTCCCGGAAAACGCGCTTGGCGAGCTTCACCACTTTGGGCATCTGCCTCGCCCGAAATGGGCGGAAGCGGTTCGGAGTCGAAGCCACGCGTCTGCGGCCGGCACTCCAATGCAATCACGGAGTAGCCATGCGTCTCGATCTCCGAATCCGTAATGCCAGCTTCCCTCGCACCTAGCCCGGAACGCCACACGCATTCGCATTCGGGCCGGATGCATCTGATGCATCTCAGCGGCATTGGGCCGTCAACATGGAGACCTGGCCCAGTCCTTCAGCATTCCGCTTGCCCTTTGCAACACTTTTGAGCTTTCAATCTTGCAAAACCTTCGCCTGCTCCCATGTGGACCACGCGCAGCGGAGGCCTCTCCAGCTTCGGGAGAGCCTCGCGCGCCTATCGGAACTCGGCCGACTTCCCACGAACTTGCCGCTTTCCCCGAATGAATCACTTGCGTGAATTCAATTCACAGGTCCGATTCCAGCACCTGGGAAGCGAACCCGTGCAGCTCTGAACTTTTCATGGGCTCTCCCAAGCTTCGTGACTGCAAGTTTGACCAGCCTGTTGACTATTGCTTGAACCCTGTCTCTTGACTAGTGCGTGTCCAGCGACTTCACAAAAACCTACCATTTGACACCAAGGAAACGAAGGCAGAGTGGCACTTTGCACTCTGGCGAATTGTGCTCTCGTAGCAGATTCTTACTGGCGGTTTGCTGTGGCATGTCGGCACGCCGGCCTCCATGATCTTCTCCAGGGCCTTGTCAATAGCTTTTCTGAAGGCATCCAGACGTTGCTCATCCCAGAGCCGCAAGAAAAGCCATCTGGGGCCTGAGAGACGCAACGACGCAACGACTGAACGCTCTGTTTTCGGATCGCCCCGTCGGTCGCTCTGTGGTCCGCACAGCCCACCGCCTTTTCCTTCTTCGCTGCCTCTCACGGGGCCCAATACTCAATACTCAAGGCCTGGCTTCTTGGAAAACGGGAGGGTTGGAGGGTTGGAGGGTTCTCGGAGCCACACCTTTTGGCCCCAACTTCAATCCACGCCTCAGGGCTGACTTCGAAGCGTATCCTCGAGCGGCTGTAAGAGGCACCTGGCGCAAATGCGCTGCAAATGCGCTGCAAATGCGCTCCATGTTGCCAGTTCTGAGATGCCAAGGGTGAGGCGTACGTGGATAACCTCGCCTTTGGACACCTACCCCGGTGGCCAAAACACCAACACACCCCACACTCTCAGATCGTCCTCCAGTGGAGCCGGCAGCCACTGGTAGGCATGGCGATTGTAGTCCTCGCTCACACGTACGCAGACAACCTACCCTCTATGTCTCTGGGTACCCCGACGCCATGAAGCTCGGCGACGCCTTGCCGCAGGTCGGCCGGGGTGTGGTCCAGCTCCACTTCTGCTGTCAACGCCCTAATTCGCTCCCAAATCGGTCTGCTTTGGTCCACTTCTCTCTCTCTCGACAGTCGACACGGGCTGCGCACATCTTGTACCAGAACACAATGCAGTTCAGCACCTCGAAGCTCAGTCGAGTCTCGTGACGTCGTATGCCAATTGAATCAACTGGGCCCAGCACGCCATCTTCCTGCACCTCAAAGCGCAGGTCGGTCTGGCCGCTCCTCATCCGGCTCACGAGTGTCCGTGCCGTCAGAGCCTCTCTCTCTCCGGGCGCACATCTTCACCTCTGGCTCCGTGAAGTCGAACTCGAAGACCTCGTGGACGGGCCTGGCGTCGAAGCTCAAGCGACTTGAAAAGTCAGTCCCGCTAAGTCCTAAGTCCTAAGACATCCGAAGACATCCGAAGACATTCGTCATAAGTCCCTGGCCCGAGGCAACGCCAGGGCTCCCGGAGGCCGCCGTCCAAATTCCCCGACTCGTAGAAAGCCCCCCACCGCGTCTCATCCCCAGCCTTCAATTCTACGCACGCAAGAGAAAAACCGAGAGAAACCGAGAGAAACAAAAGTAACGCGAGAGAAACGCGAGAGAAACGCGAGAGAAACGAAACGACCGACTCGACCTACTTGAGCTGCCGGCACGCCAGTCAAAGCCATCGGGGCCTTCCTCGGTTCACCCGATGCTGATCTCAGCGGCTCACGGCAAGGCACCCACTCCACGTGGGCATCGCATCTCGCACGCGGCACATAGGATCTGTGCACCTCATGTTCAAAGTGAATTGTGTGAAACCTGATGCAAACTCATGTGCTGCCTACACAGTGTGCTCATACCATATACCATGAGGTCATGCCATCAGCGCCCTCAAGCGTGTGAGGAATCTGGGTTCTGGACCCATGGGAACTATCATGTGATCTTGAGTCACGAGGCGCTTCTTGATGTGGTTGATTCTTGCCAACACCTATGCGGGCACAAGTCATCGGCGCACGCAATGACACTGACAATTGAGATGCGTGCTCCCTTTCCAAGCAAACCTGGGTCGAAAAGCTCGTAGTCAAGGACTGCCTCGGGAGGAAAAACGGCGATCTGGACAAAGATACGAAACAGATCTTGAGGCGGCCACCACATCTACTTTGCCGGTGAGGTTGTTCTCATCTCCGTCAGGATCCACCACTGCCAGCTCATGAGATGGCCGATGCACAAACCTGTCACAGGGAGGCGGAGCCTTGGATTTCCGAATGCTCCGAGGTGGCCGCTTCACCTGCTGCGACTTCAAGCCGTTCCTGTGCTGTACTCGAGACGCTTCGACGGAATCCAGGTAAGGCTCCAGGCTCTCGAGCGACTGTCATGCATAAATCCGCGATGTAGGTCGCCCGATGCCTAGAGACTTCGTGTGAGCCATGTCCACTTCAGCTATGAGACCCAACGCAGTGTTGGCAACGATGTCCGAGGTTGGGAGGTACCTGCGGCCAGTCAGCTTGTCGCTGGCCTTTCAGCCGCTGTCACCTTGCTGCCGTCAGCAAGGGAAGGCCGCTGCCAATCCCAACAAAGAGCCACCTCGCCTCACACGCCATGCACGCCATGCGCGCCAAGCCGCATGCCATGCCCATGAAAATGCTTCAAGGCTCGAGCGTCATTGCCCAGCATGTTGTGCTTCTGGCGAGTCCCGTCCTCCTTTGTGGCTCCTGCTGACCCCAGTGGACATGTCAGACACAATCGCGCTAAGGCGGCGACCCATCAGCTGACCAACAACATCCCGCACAGCCTGCGAGACACAAGGTTCCCTGAGGGAATGCACGTGAGTTGTTCAACTGCACGACTCCCTGAGCTGTTGCAACCTTGACGTATGCATCGATGGGACTTGCATGCTGATCGAGCATATTCAGCAGCTCGTCAGCATACTGGACCTATGGCCACGGCACATGTCACTCTCTCCGAATTCATCGAAGGCGATGCAAAAACTGAACTTCGACTGCGCCCCTGGCATCGCTCTGTCGCTCAAGGAAGAGCGCGATGGCCTGACGGTGGGCATCGATTCTGCAATCGCTGTGTAAAGCCCAAATACCAAAACCCAACGCCCGCGCGCCTGTGCCTGCTGCGAGTCGCTGTAGTCCACTCGGCTGGGGGCAGGCTTGGCGTCTATCCGCCACTCCCGCGTCGTGGGGTCCTTGGTGAGAGAACTTCCAGTGCCCATGGTTGGATCCGTGTTGATCCTTATGTTCGTTGTCTTGCTGTGTGTGTTCATTGATCCTTTTTGCTGTCATGTTTTCTCCTTTTGGCTCCGTTGTGATCCTGTTTGGTGCTGCTTGAGATCGGCTCAGATGAAGTCGGGTCCACTGTGATCCCTTTTGCTCAATGTTGACCCGTTCCATATGTTTTGAATGCCTTTGATGCGTGTTGAATATTTTCCATCCGTATTGATCCGTTTGGACCTATTTGATCCTCCTGGATCCGTTTCCGATCCTGCTTGAAACATTTGCTTCATCGGATTTGATGTTTCTCGACCCATTGTGATCCTTTGTCTGTGTTGATCCTTTTGGACCCGGCTTAACCTGTTTCAGCCTGGGTGTTGATCCTTTCTCCGATTTCGTTAATCCGCTCTCTCCTGCGACGTTCGAGTGCGAAAGTGCCACTCAGCGCCACGACCCAAATGGGATGCTGCGTCTTCTGGCCACGGTTCTCATGCCTGTGTTTGAACATCTGAGTGCAAGTCTTGCAAATTGCAATGGCCTGTAGACATTCTCCATGTCGAACTTGGGCTCGAAAGGGGGTGGCCTGGCTCCAACCGGATGGGAAGCCCGGAGAGTCCCGTCGAGGCAGAGGCAGAGGTCACGGCCCGTTTGGCTTTGCACAGGCCGGCGGAACGGAGGCTCCTTGTAGCCCAGCATCGCCTTGAGCTGCCGCTGCTCCTGCGCAGCCCAAGGGCACGGCACCGCCAGGCACGCAGGCACGCAGGCACGCCCCAGGCACGCAGGCACGCCCCAACCCCTGAATTGCCCCGCCATTTTGGAGGACGAGTAGTACCTCGGAGAAGCGAAAGCAGAGCCAAGCCGGGAAACTCTGGGGAAACTCTGGGGCACTTGTCACCCAGGATGATGCGATTCGGGTCATTGGCAGCCTGAAATGAATCTCGTGATTTTGTGATTCAGACTGCGCGACTGCGCGAGGACCCGAAGTCGCCTCCTCCTCGTCCTCCTCTTCCTTTTGCTGCTGCATCAATGCGTCAAACTTGGAGTAGTCGGTGGTGTGCTTCTTCACCAGCTTCTCCTGAGAAAACAAGCAGTCAAAGAAACAAACGAGAGCTCAGTCCTGCTGGTTCTGATTCCTGATGTCCCGCGCTTTCTGTGCCCACGACACCAAGTCCTTGTTACTGGGCCTTGAGCCGTCGAACGCCAAAAACAAATCATGGCTCATCCGCATCCGAGCTGAGCAAGTGACTCTTTTTCCAAGCCCTTCTCGAACATGTCCAGGGCCTCTTGGTAGTACTCCATCCTCGACAGGTCACACGTGCAGCTCATGTCACACCAAAAGGAACGCGCGTGCTTACACTCTGAGTTGCACACTCCAGGGCTGCACGCCCTGCTCGGAAGTACCCCTTGGACCTCGGAGAGCGACTGAACTTCAATGCAAACTTTCACCAAATCCGCGGCAGGCCATCTGCGAACTCGGCGAGGCCAGGCCACGAGGCTGCGAGCCACGAGGCCGCGGCCAGGCGCGGTTCTCTTTGATGGCTTTGGTCGCTTCTACCAGCGCCTCGAGTCGAGTCACCGAACACACCGGCCCAAGCCCACGCCCCGCCTCTGTGTACTTGCCAAGCTGGAAAAGGCAAGCAGAGCCTCAAGAACGCGCGTGCCGACGCGGATCTGTGTCACTTGTCTCAGCTTTCCACGATTGCTGTAGATCTTGTGCTTTTCTGGCACATCCTGGGCAAATCCCATGTAGTGGAGAAGTCATTGCACTGAATCTTGCATCAGAATTTCAGTTCGAAGCACGAGAACCGGTCGGAAGACTCGGCCAAGGCTCTCCCAGCAAGGCTCCCGCATAGTATTCCAGGGCCTGATCCTCAAAGAGAACGAGTGGAGAAGGCCAAGACAGTTTTGAGGCAGGGGCATACTCTTTCCTCTGGAAAGCCAAGTTACCCAAGTCCTGGACAAACAAAACGCAAACGCATGTCGCTCGGTCACCCGGTCGCCCGGTCGCCCGGTCGCCCCATCCCAGTCCTTCGCTTTTTGGGATGCGAAGGAGACCATCTCCGGCGAGCAATCCGCCAGTTTGGCCTGAGCTTCGGCCGACAGAACACCTCCCTGAAGGCCAGGCAGGCCTCCTGCGCCAGAGCCTCAACGTTGCCATCCTTTCCCAGCTTGGTGATTCGTTTCCTTAATCCAAATTGAACCAAGTTGAACTTTGGACAGCTTGGATCCCCGACAGCTTGTCATCAAGAGACTCCTTGTCCTCGCGCAGATTCGCGCTTGGTTTCAGGCTACGCAGAAAGCACAACCAATTGATGTGCCTCTTCACTCTCAGAGCTGGAATCCTCAGACTTTGCCATTCCTGCCACATTTCAAAGCATGAGAAAAGACATTGTCTCGGTCCTGCCTCAGAGAGTCTTGGCAATTGCAAGCCCCACTGTCATCGCCCGAGCGTTCAGATTTCAGAACTGACCCTTGTCCAACAAAAAGAAACTGACCCTCTTGAAAAAGCGTTTGAAGCCATGAAACGCCTTGCGATGGAAACAAGGTTTTCTTCTCTGTTCCTGTTTACAAAGCACTGCTGTGTCGTGCCAAAACTAGTTTGATCACCATGAGCCAAACAGCCACATGTCAACAAGGACCTTGCCGCCCGGAGTTTGGTCTGTGACCGGGTAATGTCTTGAAAAACTAGCACCACATGCCACATGATGCCCTCAATTTGTCAGCTTCTGGTGCAAACTGCGTGCCAATTTGGTTGGCAACATGCATTTTTGCCTGGTCGAAAGCAACCACAAGATCACAACCGCGGAACCGGTTTGCCAACTTGAGGGAATGCTGATACGCAATTGACCAAACAACCAACCATCAATGTCCAGCTAAAAAATTGAGGACCTGTCAGGTTTTCACATACATTGATAGCCAAAGATTGAAAACGAGAAGCTGTTCTGCTGGCTCGGCAACATATTCCTGGCAAATGATTGTTCCTGAACGAAACATCCTGGTTTGTCGAGAAACGCATCAAAACAATTGAAAATAGTTGCTCAAAGGTGGCAACGTGAGTCCTTTGAGGAACCCTGCTGTTTGACGGTAAATTGGTCCTGGCGCACGCCAATGAAAAACAATTCCACCACGTTGCGCGCCTCCGACTACCGGCTTATCAGCATTGTTTGAAGGGCATGGTGTATTGCGCAACATGTATATGCATCACGTGACTGCGTGTATGTACAAAGGTATTGTTAATATACATCATCTTGTGCATGGCACTGCTCCTTTGTACATCACAAGGCCTTGAGCTTACAGATAGACTACAGCCCATTGCCTGGAAACAACAAGCGCCGCGGTGATTGTGCGCATTCAGTTAGCTAGGTGATACACAGTCAGTCCCACTTTAACATGGTAGCGGAGCAGTGGTCCCTGGTACACAATCCTTGACCACTACCCAGGGTGAGCTCCAACACGCACCCACAGGTCAGGTACACAGTACTGAGCAACATGGCACAACAACAACAACAACAACAACAACAACAACAACAGCAACAGCAACAGCAACAGCAACAGCAACAGCAACAGCAACAGCAACAGCAACAGCAACAGCAACAGGAGCAGCAGCTGGAAGGAATCCACAAGTACAAGATCTCACCACCTCGGCAGGAGAACGCAACACCTTCGAGGAATGGAAATACAAGATGACAGCATACTTGGGACTGCAAGACCCTGAGACAGTCAGAGCAATCAGTCGGACAAGTTACAAACGACCAGCTAGAGAATGCAGCGCCCTCACAACAAATGGCAGAGCATTGGATACAATTGAGCAACAACCTACACTACCTCTTGGTGAGCGCATGCGATGGACCAGCATCTACAATAGCATCTACAATATGCAGACAAAACACGCAAGGCAACGGTTTCGAGACATGGCGACTGCTCCAAGAGGTATGGAGTCTTGGTACAAGAAGCATTGGGTACCTTACACGGCTACTAAACCACAACGGGATGAACAACAGTTCGAAGAGAGTTTCACAACATGGTCCCAGCTCTCCAAGTATGAACAAGACAACAACACACTACTACCAGACGCAGTCAAGATTGCAGTACTAGTCAATGAGACAAAAGGCCAAGCAGGAAACATCACAACATATGCACAGATCAGGTCCGTGGTGATCGACTACTACAGAGCAACAGCAATGTTCACCAGGCTACAAGCAATCACATCAGGCAGCAACAATCAAGGGCCAGCACCGATGGACATAGGAGCAACATGGTACAGCAAAGGCAAAGGAAAGAAGGGCAAACACAAGGGCAAAGGAAATACAACGAAGGCAAAGGCTACGGGAGCTACGGGAGCAGCTGCAGCTACAAAGGATGAAAAGGCAAATACAATCAACAACCGGTTGGACAAGGAAACCCTTTCGGAAAAGGATACAACCACAAAGGAAAAAGGAAAGGATACTACAACAATCAAGGAGGAAAAGGAGAAAAAGGAAAGCATGCGACAAATGTTTGCTACAGATGCAGTCAGCCAGGACACATGGCCAAACAACGCAGAGTGGCTATCTACAACTGAGACACTGGCAACTTCGACACCAGCGACGAGACAGATGACTGGTACAGTCAAGCACACTATGACAACAACTGGAATTCAGCAGGATCAGACACAGCTGCAACAACTTGCAGTGCCACAACCACCACAGCTAGCAGAGCACCCGTCTCAGGATTACAAGAATTAAAGGACCGGATAACCCCACATGCTATGTTTTTGCCAAGGATGTGAGTTCAAATGTCCACACACATGTACCGTGCGCCCCTTGTATGGATGCGATTACAGAGCAGGTCTAGCGCGCTCTTTTCATCGCAGGCGTTGCTAACCTACTGCAGCCCGAGCCGCTAATCAACAAAACAAAGCAAGTTCGAGACATTCTCGAACTTAGTCCATCTTGTTAGATTATTGGCTGCGCCGCACGTGCATCTCAGGAGGTCATCTTGCAGCTCAGCATCGGAGAAGATCTGGACACTTTCCCAAAGAGAAATAGCACTGTGGTATCCGTTGGACGATGAAGTCAAGCTTTTTCAGTCAGATGTCCATCTCAAGGCTTCTCCGCGGGGAACCTGCAGGGCCTGCCTTCCTGAAAGGTTCCAATGTGCGAATGTCGACAGAACGCGGACCGCTCCGCCTACATTGTGAATCCATCAGCAGCGCCGAGGGCTTGGCAGGGCAGCCGTGGAGCAGCTTATCCAACTTGGAGCAGCTCATCCACGACTTCGGCAATGGCATCTCCACACCCAGATGCACAGAATGCAGCGCCTGCCACGACTTCGGCAACGGCATCGCCAAAGTGCTGCGCCTGCCACGATTTCGCACGCCCCCCGCCGCGCGCGCTGCGCCTGCCACGATTTCGCACGCCCCCCGCCGCGCGCGCGACAACATCCTGTCCCGTTAGACAGCTGCCGAACGCTGCGCCTGCCACGATTTCGCACGCCCCCCGCCGCGCGCGCGACAACATCCTGTCCTTTAGACAGCTGCCAAATGCTGCCCCTGCCACACAAACACACACCCAGATGCACAGAATGCTGCGCCTGCCACGACTTCGGCAACGGCATCGCCAAAGTGCTGCGCCTGCCACGATTTCGCACGCCCCCCGCCGCGCGCGCGACAACATCCTGTCCCGTTAGACAGCTGCCGAACGCTGCGCCTGCCACGATTTCGCACGCCCCCCGCCGCGCGCGCGACAACATCCTGTCCCTCTAGACAGCTGCCGTGAGTCAGCGAGTGTGAGTGAGTGAGTGAGCGAGTGAGTGAGTGAGTGAGTGAGTGAGAGTGAGTGACTGAGAGTGAGTGTGAGTGAGTGAGTGAGTGAGCGTGAGTGAGTGAGTGAGTGAGTGAGTGAGTGTGAGTGAGTGAGTGTGAGTGAGTGTGAGTGACTGAGTGTGAGTGAGTGAGTGGGAGTGAGTGTGAGTGAGTGTGAGTGACTGAGTGTGAGTGAGTGAGTGTGAGTGAGTGAGTGTGAGTTGAGTGAGTGAGTGAGTGAGTGAGTGAGTGAGTGAGTGAGTGAGTGAGTGAGTGAGTGAGTGAGTGAGTGAGTGAGTGAGTGAGTGAGTGAGTGAGACAGTGATGAGGAGGGAGGGCGGGAGGAGGAGGAGAAGGAGACGCGGCGCGCGGACGACGAGCGGTAAAAGTAAGAACCCCACACAAAGATGTGGGGAACAAACACACACCCAGATGCACAGAATGCTGCGCCTGCCACGACTTCGGCAACGGCATCGCCAAAGTGCTGCGCCTGCCACGATTTCGCACACCCCCCGCCGCGCGCGCGCGCCACAAGTCCTCTAGACAGCTGCCGAATGCCCCCTGCCACACAAACACACACCCAGATGCACAGAATGCTGCGCCTGCCACGATTTCGCAACGGCATCGCCAAAGTGCTGCGCCTGCCACGATTTCGCACACCCCCCGCCGCGCGCGCGACAACATCCTGTCCCTCTAGACAGCTGCCGAATGCGACCCCTGCCACACAAACACACACCCAGATGCACAGAATGCTGCGCCTGCCACGACTTCGGCAACGGCATCGCCAAAGTGCTGCGCCTGCCACGATTTCGCACACCCCCGCCGCGCGCGCGACAACATCCTGTCCCTCTAGACAGCTGCCGAATGCTACCCCTGCCACACAAACACACACCCAGATGCACAGAATGCTGCGCCTGCCACGACTTCGGCAACGGCATCGCCAAAGTGCTGCGCCTGCCACGATTTCGCACACCCCCCGCCGCGCGCGCGACAACATCCTGTCCCTCTAGACAGCTGCCGAATGCGACCCCTGCCACACAAACACACACCCAGATGCACAGAATGCTGCGCCTGCCACGACTTCGGCAACGGCATCGCCAAAGTGCTGCGCCTGCCACGATTTCGCCACACCGCACGCCCCCCGCCGCGCGCGCGACAACATCCTGTCCCTCTAGACAGCTGCCGAATGCTACCCCTGCCACACAAACACACACCCAGATGCACAGAATGCTGCGCCTGCCACGACTTCGGCAACGGCATCGCCAAAGTGCTGCGCCTGCCACGATTTCGCACACCCCCCGCCGCGCGCGCGACAACATCCTGTCCCTCTAGACAGCTGCCGTGAGTCAGCGAGTTGTGAGTGAGTGAGTGAGCGAGTGAGTGAGTGAGTGAGTGAATGAGAGTGAGTGAATGAGAGTGAGTGTGAGTGAGTGAGTGTGAGTGAGCGTGAGTGAGTGAGTGAGTGTGAGTGAGTGTGTGTGAGTGAGTGTGAGTGTGAGTGAGTGTGAGTGACTGAGTGTGAGTGAGTGTGAGTGAGTGAGTGTGAGTGAGTGTGAGTGAGTGTGAGTGAGTGAGTGTGAGTGAGTGAGTGTGAGTGAGTGAGTGTGAGTGAGCGTGAGTGAGTGTGAGTGAGACAGTGATGAGGAGGGAGGGCGGGAGGAGGAGGAGAAGGAGACGCGGCGCGCGGACGACGAGCGGTAAAAGTAAGAACCCCACACAAAGATGTGGGGAATTAACAATTTCCATGATTGGCGCAGCACAGCCGGCTACACAGGTATGCCCACCATGGTTCGCACCACAATTTCCACTACATCAACTGGAACATGGAACAAGACCACAGCTCAGAACAGTGACCAACCAACACATCCAGCTTTTCGGGTACAGATGGGTTTGCGTGACAAACAACAGCGGACAACAAATTGTCACACCATGCTGTGTTTGTGAGGCGATTCTTTCAGTTACAAGGCTGGTGGAACAAGGTTTCCAACTTGCAGTGAATGACAATCCAAGGCTACAACACGTCAAAGGATTCAACAGCACACTGGAGAACAGAAATGACCTTTTGTTCCTACAAGCACAAATCTGCAAAAAGGAACAAAGCTACACATACACAGTACAGAACAAGGACAGATTGGCATGATAGCACCGACCACAACGCTTACACCACAAGGTCCTGCAGATACAGGATACGCAGGAGACTACTGGCAGTTCAACATAAAAGGCAAACTTGTCAGAGTAATACAGGAAGACACTCTTCACACCACCAAGAACACCACGTCGAGCCTCGATCAGCATTTTACACACATAGAGCAGGCACACGACGGGCCAGGCATCAAGCGACTTGTGCCTTGGAGACAAATACAACCAGTGGAAGACACAACACAAGATTGGTAGAAGATGAATGGACACACTGCCAGCAAAGACATCAGACAAGCCACGGCCAGGCTGGACAAACTTTGAGGAACATCAATCAGGAGGTTCTAACGCAACTTGAGTCACATGATGGGAGCAACAGCAAGGAACCAAAGCGAAAGCAGTACAAGCACCCAAGCAACCAACACCCAAAAAACTTCTTGAGCACAACGTGACACACCTTTTTTATAGTTGGTGTTCAATATGCGTACAAGCAAGGCAGACAGAATAATGGCCCAAAGTAGCACAGCAAGCTTCCAATCATACAGCTTGACTTCGGCTACATCAAAGGCTTTGATGACGGATTTTTTTCTCTTGGGCCGAGAAGGATATTCTTTTTCGGGCCGAGACGGATCTTCGTTTTTCGGGCCGAGACGGATCTTTTTTTTTGGCCGAGAATATTTCGGGAAATTGGTCCCTACAAAAATGAAGCCACTGCATCTTCCGGATTATGGCCGGGGTAGCCCGGACATATTTGGGTAAGCGGTCCGTAGGAAATATGAAGCGGTTGCATCTTCCGAAATATCCGGGATTTTTTGGAAAAGCGGTCTGCAAAAACGCGCGCAAGTGCGACGAACAAGTTTTACGGTTTCGGTTTATAGAGCAAATATTATGTATATATATATATATTATAATTATTTCATATTTTCAATATTATTTCATAAAATCAAATATATGTAATAGTTATAGAATATATATATATATTATATAATTAATAGGTTTATTATTATTTATAAGGTATATTTCGATGTCAATATCAATTCTTCCTAATTCCTCCTCCAGCTGCATCTGCTTCACTGTCATGATCGTGTGGATCTTGCAGCCTCTGGAGGGCTTTGGCGTGCAGTACATGGAGCAAGATCCAAGGCAGCAGCTTTTCTGCTACCTCTGGCGCGGCATCGGCCAAGTCTTGGCTGCGTCGAATCTTGAGCTCGTCCAGGGAGGCTCTCTGAGAGGAGCTCGCCTCACGCAAACGGCCTAGCCCTTTCCTTGAAGGAGGCAGCCTGGGACGCAGCCTGCATGGCCTCTTCAGTTGCCAGAACGGGTGGATCTTGAGCTGCAAGGTCAGGGGAGTTTGTTGAACCTTGGCAATCTTAGAACATGGTCACACATTGATCTCGTTGCAATTATTTGGAATTTCCTGCGCGCTTCCAACGACCCTGATGCCCCAGAAAGGTGCGTCTTGTGGCCGTGAAGGCGACAACAACTCTTTCCCGAAGGAGAAGCCCATGTACGTTTGGGTGTGCCATCCAAATTGCTCCGACTCATGATTGTCTTCCTAGTTCTTGCAGGGGCCTGTGGCCCATCTCCCAAGTTCCTGACTGCGCCGCAAGGGGCGCTTCGCTCTCGCCTGTAGCCGGAAACTCAAAACTCTGCCAAGGAATTCAATGCGTGCCTCGTCCTCATGACGCGGATGGCGCAGGACTTTCCTGACGCTCGCTGCGTGCAGTGTGTGCCGAGTGTGCGCTGCGCAGTCTGCATGCATCGGGGCAGGGCCCTGGCGCTTGCCGCCAAACCACCAGCAAACCCAAACATCCGCTGAGGAGCATCAGCCTGGGCTTCTCACAGCTCACTCGTACTTGCCACATGACACTGGGAGCCTGGCAGCGCCAGCGAAGTGACAGAGAGGCGATGCCTTGCCACGGATCGCAGAGAGATGGCCCGTTCCGCGTCTGGGTCCCGCGCCGGGCGCGGTGATTCGCGTGGCCGTGGCCATTGGCGCCATTGGCGCCATTGGCGCCATTGACCTTTGCCTTCGGAGCCAACGGCGGCGCCGGCGCCCGGCGCTCGAGGCGCTCGGCGAAGCGCTTGGCGTCTTCGGCCGCGGAGCTGGCGGAGACCAGCACTGCGGGCGCTGGCGCGCCCGCCACGTCATCCGCATCGGCCGGGTCGCCCGTAGAAGGCACTGCCGGGGAGGCCGCTTGGAACACCGCATGGATCTGCGCGTGGCGCGCTTCCTACGCAAGTGGGCAACGAGGCATAGTGCGTAAAGAGCTCCCTGCCTTCCGTGCACTGAAGCTTTGCCTTGCAAAGCCGACATGGGAAGCTTACAAGCTTACATAGGCTTGTATGAGCTTGTATAAGCTTATGCGAGCTTGTGGTGCCGCCTGGTCTCACCTGCAAAGTTCACGGCAGCCTGAGCTCTGCAAAAAGCTCTCAGCCTGACATCCCAAGCCTGGCCTCGTGCCGTCGGACTAGCACACCTGTCGCGTGTCAGGAAAGCCGTGAAAAGAGGACAACCGATCTGCCCATGCCTTCCAAACCATGATCCAAGTGATCAAGGCAATAGACCTCAGGAAGCACATGAACTATCTCTGGCAACGGCAACCCCCAATGGCCCAAGCCTTTGCCAAGGTGAGCAATAACAGCGCCCTGCAAGCAAAAGTCTTTGGCATGCTGTCTTCCTAATCACATTCCTTGCCTGGGCATTGATGGGGTACCATGACACGCAACACTGTGTCCGGCTACGTTATGGAAGGCCTTACTTATCTTTTGGAGCCGGTTCAGAGATCGCTCATATCGCTCATGAGATGGGCACTGTGAACTTGCAAGCTAGACAGAAAGCAAGAAAGCATCAAGAGCACAACTTTTTCATCCTTTGCCAGCACCCTTCCAGCCTTGGCATGACAAATCAGCTAATAAGACAAGTCTCACCATGCTTGACTGTTTTTGGCCCAGGAAGCCGCGAGCCGCTCTTTTTTGCAGACTGGACTCAGCCTTAAGTTCAGAAGAAACCACAACTCAGCCAGCCCTCTTCTTGAGTGGGCACAGCAAGGAAATTGTCACTTGCCAGCGCACTGTGCGCACCTGTGTGCTTGTGCCTCGATGGCCGCCCGATGTTTTGAGAAGTGTAAGTGCCACAAAGGGCCAAATCCGGTCATACGGCTATGGCTGCCATATGGGATCATACTATGATCACTCTTGAAACAAAGTGGCCCAGCCGGTGGAAGGCAGTGACAGCCCTGGCAGTTGTCCCAGTGCAAAAATGGCGGCTGCGAATTGCTTGCGGCGAGCATCCGCTGACAAGGTCAGCGATGATCACCACGGCTTGCAAGCAGGAAAACGATCAGTTACGTCCGAGGCCAGCATTGAATCGATGCCCTTTGTGTCATGTTTGTCCCGGCTCAGAATCATTACCCTAGACTCCCAGACCAGGCTGTACACGTTCGCCATGCCTTCTGCACAGCCGATATAGTACTCCCTCGAGTACATTGAGCTGTGGCCAGTCGGCTCACAGACTTCACGCCCAAGTGTGGAGCCTCGCGACCCACAACATGTCGGGCGTGTCGGGCGTGTCGGGTGTGCAGCTTGCGGCATGGCCCCGCCTACGGTCCTGCAGCATGGCATTGACGGTCTCCGCGACAGTCCAGCCTGCCTCGGCGCACGAGACCCTGTCACGGAAGCTCACAGGGCTCTTTGCCTCTGGTGGTGTTCCGGAGTCCTTGGCTCAGCTCATGCAATGCGAAAGCGAGCTGTCGGAATGCGAGCTCAGCGTCGAATCTCAGGCCAGGCTCTTTGCCCGTCAAACCTTCCGGCCCAGGACTCCAGGTCTCCGTTTCCCTTTTCTCGGGTCGAGCCTGTGCTTTGCCCGTGTAGCAGCTGCTTCCGTGCCTGGCTCGGCCAGGAAGCGGCATAGGCAAACAGAAGAATCTCTGAGGGTCCAGCAGCTAGGTATTTATTGTTGAACTCTGAAGGGCTGCACTCAGCCCATCGAACCTCAGAGCACCGTTCGAAGCCGCCAAGTGCAAAAAACCCTTTCAGCGCCCAACCCAGAATGCATGAGAATCTTGACGACGTCTCTCAACCTGACAGGGCACAACCCATCCGGCGTGTTCCCGAAGACCTCTTACGAAAGGATTGAAATCGTGGCAAAGCCTAAAGGCCTTTCGAAATTTATCTGAACCCACGTGAGGCCCAAAACATGGGGGCTGCTCCATCACATCCTGTAATCGCGCCGAAGTTGTAAATGCCACCCCTCCAAGGCCTCTTGCAAGAAGTCGTCCACCACGGTTCCCTGAGCCCCCTCTCGCCCCTCTCCCTCCCGACATTGCAAGCTATCGCATCGCCTTGCCCTTGGATCCACCCAGGTAGTGCTCGCAAAAGGTCCGTCTCTGAAAGAGGCTGGGATACAGCCTGAGACCCGCTGAGACCCGCTGAGACCCTCAGATACTCTCATTTCGACTTTCCATCTACACACTCGTTCCAAGGAGCCCAAGTTGGTAGAGGTGTGGCTCCGCGCCGCTGTAGGGATACATCCACTCCTCAAAGTCGCGACACGCAAAGCCACAAAGTCGCGTTGCAAAAGCCCCTGGCATTAAAGTGGTTGGCAATATCATAGGTAGGATCCAGTGTTCCCGCGTACTCGAAATCCAAAAACTGGAGATCACCTGCACCGGAAGAAATCCGAAGTGGCAAGCAACATCCGAAGTGGCTCACCATCTTGCATCATCAACATGTTGTTGTGGTGCAAGTCATTGTGGTTGAGACCTGTCCTGCGCATTGCCACGTGGACATGGCATGGAGCAGACGTGAAACCTGTCCTATCGTGAAACCTGCGCAGTGTCCGCGCAATCTGTGGGATGGTCTCTGCGGAGCGGATCTCCTCGGCACATGAAGCATCGGGCCGAGCAGATCCGAGCGGCACTCACGTCCTGGTGACTGGGCGCTCGCCCCTCCAGCCACTCCTCTACTCTGCCCTCCTCAAAGTTGAGCAGTACCTGCAAGAGGAGCAAGATCTGGCGGAAAGAAGCGAGCCGAAAGAATCCGAGCCGAAACAATCCGAGCCATGGAGATGTGACACGCAACGCGTGGGGCCTGGGGTCCGAAGCCGCGGTCCGCGATATAGCGGGCCCGCTGCACTTCGTCGGCACGGTCGAAGATGCCGTGCTCGGCGGAGCCGTATATCCGAAGGAGGACATGGTCCTGGCAGGAAGATGCAGTAGGTTCAGTAGGTTCTTAGGTTCTGGGAGACCAGGGGAGACCAGGCAATGCATTGGCACGCATGGTCCTTTCCACAGGACACGCGGAACACCTCACGGGGCAGGTTGGTGAGATATGGTGAGATGGGGACAAGCGCCAGCTTAGCCGGGCGCCAAGTTGGAGCATGCCACGACCAAGCGGTGGACATCTACGCATTTCGACCTCCGCTTCCGGCTCCGCTCAAGTTCTCTGCACAGCGCCCAAACTTCCCCCCCTCCTCCAAGCTGGTCGGGCTTTGAAGACCTGCCCATGGCAACAAGAGACGAGAAATGTGCATCTCTGACGCACATGCAACATGCACGGCATGTCACGGCATGTGTGCACGGGCGCCGCGGCACCTCCTCCAGGAAGCGGCCCGGCTTCATGGCGCGCACGCCTGCGGGTGCCTCTGGACTCTAGCCTCGAGCCTCGAGCTGCCTCGAGCTGCCTCCTGCCTGCGGCTGTCCGGTGACAAAAAAGAGCTGTGGTGTTGTGCTGTGCTTTCAAGCATTGTGCTTTGAGAGGTCGCTGCGTCGCAAAGAGGCAAAAGGCAAGACGCACTCACACTATGCACATTGACAATGCCCTTGACTATGCCTTGGTGCCTCAGGCCCCTGCTTGTCCAGGTGTCCTGTGAGGGCGCTCAGGTGCTCAAAGTGCTCAAAGTGCTTAAAGTGCTCACATGCTGGAAGAGCCCTGTGGCTCCCGTCCACCTGCGCTTTTGACGCGTCTCATTGCGTCGGGCTGGAGCCCTCCGGTAGGAGTGATCCATCAATGAGGATGTCCAATCCCACGGGCAGGTGATCGGAGCCAGCTGCCGTTGCAACGAAGGAGCTCAAGGAGCCTCAGGGACGTGTCGCAATGTCGCAATGTCGCAATGTCGCAATGCCCCCGCCCAAACATTCAAAGAAGTCTGCAGATTTGGCCGGACTTTGAAAACTTTGCTGAGCGATGCATCCCATATCATCCCATTGCACTGGGCTCCTACGTTGAAGTCACGGGATGCGTAGATGTAGTCAATACGAGCTGGGGTATCCCCTGGCAATGTTCGAGCAGTTGCTCCAGTCCTCGTGGCGCGGTCTCTCTCTCTCTCTCTCTCTCTCTCTGACCCTCTGACTCTCTAAGGGGCGGGCGCATCTCGGTAGCCAGCAGCTTCCAAGGCGGCCAGAGCGGCCGAATCTTCTGGCGGACACCAGCGATTCCTGGCGTTCCGCGCCTCCAGAGCGGCCCACTCCTGTCGCATCTCACCGCTCCAAATCTCCAAATCTCCAAATCTCCAAGTGAAATCCGGACGTCCTCCTCTGAGTAGTCCGATCGTTTCATTGCCTGAGCCACCGATTGAAAGGCTCGGCCGCTCGGCTTTCACACCGGTGAAAGGTCGAGCAGCATTGAGGTCTCCGAGCAGGAGGTGAGGAAGGCCCTTGCTGAGACGATCTGCCTTCGATAGGACTGACTCCGCTTGTCGAAGTCTCTCAGCCTGGAACGGAATCGACTCAGTCTTCCGCCTCTCGCCCCTTCATTTCTTCCCGTTCCACTTTTGCACTCCCTCCTCATTATTCCGGCCTCCGCGATGTGATCCCAGTGCGTTGACAGAACAGCGAACCTTGTCTCGCCATCTGCAGCCTTTGCTGCCACGCATACCTCAAAGCAAACACCTTGACGCAAGCACGACAATTACAAGCTCACAGGCAGCTCACAAGTAAAATTGAATGTCTCAGCTAAACATGGCAAGGCGACGGCTAGGCATCCTCTTCCAATGTGCTTGTCCCCTTGAGGAGTTGGAACAGAAGAACCTCCTTCAAGATGGGCACTGTCACAGTGAATGACTTGCAGTCTCTTGCTCACCAGAATCGCATTTCCAAAGCTTTCATAGCCAGGATTTGCATGTGCAAAGAAATACTCCATCTCATCCAAGTCCTCGGCCAAAGCCTCAAGAGTATCATCATGCTGATTACCCTCCGGATCTTTGACTTTGGTCCGTCTGACTTCATTTAAACAGAGAATGTCCGGCATCAGCTCTCGCAAGTCTTTTCGCAACTTCCCGTAGACTTCGGTGACGAGCTTCTCATCGACTTCCTTGAAGCCTGCCCCAAAGCCACACACGTTGTACGAAACAACGCGGATCTGCTTGCTAAAGATGGTCTCCAAGGTGTCCCTGTTGACGGTGTCCTTGACGGTGTCCTTGACGGTGTCCTTGACGCTTGAGAAGCAGAGCATAGGTTTCCATCTCGGAGGGCATTCTCGATACATCACGCACCCGCTAGCAATGAGGATCAATCCGCGCCGCCATGCGGTCCACATTCGCCATGCAATCTTGAGCCGTCTGTGCGCCGTACAGTACAAGCGCTTCAGCCCCTCGCACTCCCACGTAGTTTGTTCAAGTGGTGCACCCAAAGCCAGGAACCCGTACGGTTGGGACTGCCATTTTAAGCCTTCATCCGTTTTGATTGTGGCTCATGTTACAATCCTTGAAAGATTGTCTATTCCGGTCCTCGCTTCCCCACTTTCCACTGCCTGTCCGCAGCACTATGCGCAAGAGACAGCTCGGCACCAGGCCTTTGGCTCCCCACGCGAAATCTCCGCATGGTCTTCCGCAGCCGCCGCAGCCGCAGCCGCAGCCGCCCCAGCCGCCGCCCCACTGACCGCCCCAGGCGTCGGCACCCCAAGCGCCCCACCCGCACCCATGGCATCCGTGGCATCCGTGGCATCCGTGGCATCCACACCCATCGTGGGTGGGAAACCCAGGAGGGCAAGGCCCGTGCGGAACTTGGGGCGGTTCCGCTCGCGAGGCCTGCGGTTCAAAAAGACGGCCTGATGCGCCTGATGCGCCTGATGCGCCTGATGCGCCTGATGCGCCTGATGCGCCAGATGCGCCTGCGGATGTACAGCTGCCTGAGCTGCTTGGGAAACACCTGGCAAAAATCAAACGCTGCGATGTCTGGTTCCGCTTCTCGCCTGCAAGTGCATCCGCATCGCCCTCTTTGTCAACGTCTCTCTTCTCGTCATTCCTCACGCCGCACTGCACTGTTGGCCCATCTCAACTGGACAACATCTGAGGCCGTGGCTGCACTTTGTCCTATGCGAGTGACGAAAAAAGAAAACTCACTAAACATAGAGTAAACGGACCCCAGAGAGCAACAACTGCTCAGAGCCTTGTATTCCCACACTTAGTAAAACTGTTTGCAAGACCGGTGCATTGCTTCGTCCACGCTGAAAGTCCGCAATGTGGACCGAATCAAGGTTTCGGTTCCCACTATGGCCTTCCAGCAACCTTCGTAATTAACTCCTGTCACAGCTACCAGCAATACCCGGCCAACACTACACCACCCTGCGCACAGCACCCTACCCTGTACAATGTGTGCCACACCCTCCCTCTCTCTACTTGAAATTTCAGTGTGTCAATAGCTTTCGGCTATCTGGGGAAGACGAACAAAGAAACAGAAAGACGAACAGGCAGACACAGAGACTTGGAGACAAGAAGGCACCAAGACAAACACACAAATAGAACTCTCTGTGCATCTTGGCCTTGGCTGTCACCTTTTTCCGCTTCTTTTTCCTGCCGAACCTGCCGAGGGACGAGTGGTACCCCAAAGCAAAGCACCAGCTGGGCGCGCCGTTCCGACAGGAGTCTGTTCGAGGAGCCAAAAAGGCATGCTAGGCCAGCTGCTCGTCGTAGAGCTCGTCATCTGAGTTGTGCTCCACCTTCCAAGAGCACAGCCAGCGCTTGAAGCAGCGCAAGCATGCATGAAGCAAGCGCTGTTCAAGTTCGGCTCCGCCTTCAGGTCCCCAGCGTTCTGCCTCTCGTTGAAGCCACCTCCACGGCCTCCAAACAAACCCGAACACGAGGCATCCCGAAACCGGACTGAAACTTCCGGGGACTTCCGGGGCCAGGCTCTGGGGCCTAGCTGCTCGCTGTCGCGCTTCTGAGAGCGCAGGAAGAACAGGCCGCCGCCGCCTCGCGACCTCGTCTCAAGCCAAATTCAAGCCATGCGAGTCATGCGAGTCATGCGAGCCTGTTGCTAACGGGGGTGTTTGCTTGCAATCGGCTTCACGACAGCCATGGCACATTGGCACAAATCGTGATCAACGATCCCCGACATCAAAACCTGACAGGGTAGGATCCAAGTGGGACTTGAGGCTTCTAGATTTGTCCAGGTCTCCTGATCTCCGAATGCGCGATGCCCAGTTTTCCAACTCCGAACCTAATGCATGCTTCATCTCTACGTTCAGCCTTCTTTAGATGTGGTCAATATTTTCTGGACATCCTTGGATATTGTGGAGTGTCCGTTTGTTTTCCTCCAAGTGGTACCAGACGCCCGTCCACGTCACTTTCGTCTCACTCACGTCTCCAAGGCGGGGACGCTGGCACCACCTGGGAAGCGCGAGGTCATGGTCGTCACAATCCCATGCGATTCGAGCATCGAATCAAAGGGCCTACATGCGGCTCGACAAGAAATAATAGGTCGCACAAACCTCCATTTGTGCTTGTGTTCTTCCAGAATCGATGATCAAGGGCAGATTTGCATCCCTTTCATTGACGTTGGTGCCTATTTTGCTTGTCTTTGGGCCGTGTTGCACTCGGATCTTCCCCACAGCCACGAGTCACAGGATGCTCAAAACGTCCCCAGCGGCACATGAAGTCATTTTGGAGCGAGGTCCTCTGTCTATCCCCGGCGTTGGCCTCTAACTTAACACTCCCGATCCAAACATGGCGTCCTGGAATCTCCACTCAATGTGCGTCAAAAAGACATTGACGGTTGGCCGCGACTCATTCCGAACCTACCCGGCACATCCCGGTCGATTCGTCTCGCAATGCCTTGAGCGCGTAGGACGGCAGATCCTGAGCCGAAAGAGCCGAAGGCACCGAGAGCGGCCAAGCGCCAAGCGCAGCCAAGCGCAGCCAAGCGCAGCCAAGCGCAGCCAAGCGCAGCCAAGCGCAGCCAAGCGCAGCCAAGCGCAAGCGCCAGGCCAAGTGCCCAAGTGCCCGGCTGGCTGAGATCCTGGAGGTGCCGCTTTCATTTTGATAGGAACATGCACCGCGCCTGCCATCCGCCATGAAGTGAGGAAAGTAATGCACCCAAACCAATGTCAGGTTAAGTGCATGTTGATGACTCTCTGGACACGCATTTCTTCATGCACAGGTGACATATTGCGAGACTCCACATGATTGCCCACATGATCCTGCAGGCGAACGTGATGCAAACAAGATCCGCAATTGGTAGTGCAAGGTCGGAAATCGGAGGAGGCAACCCTTGCAAGCGTCAAGTCTTTTGCGGCTGCTTACATCTTCGTCCTCTCAAGCCTTGCAAGCAGAAAGTGATGCCAAGCGTTGAGCTGCAAACCTCTCAGGCGTTGGCAGGTGCACTGTTGCATCTGCGCCTTCAAGCGTTGCACAATATGTCAGGACATCGAGGCGCAGCAGCTATAGCTTGCCTGCTGTGACAATGAAGTCTCCACTGTGGTGAACCTGTCAACTGCATCTGTTTTAAGCAACGCACACTGTGTAAGCGGGCCCCGACGGAGTGAATCGCCTCCCCTTGCGCGGCTATGGCGCGCTCGTGCAGGTGGGCCTACGCGCGCTGACACGCGAAGGCTGAGGCGCTCGGCGCTCGGCGCCTCTTGCACGCAGCGACAAGTCCTCAAGTCGAAGATGTGCAGCGAGCCGTCGTGGCCTGTCCGGCCGGCCAGTCACTGAGTCCGTGTGTGTTTCTGCTTGCTATGCTCCTTCATGTTCCTCCTTTTCTTTGCTTGGCCTGTTTTCCGCTTCTCAAATCGGAACCCAGTGCCCATCTTGTGACTTCCTTGCTCCATGTCTGTGTCGTTGGGGCCGCAGCCCGCGGCCACCACCTCCGTGCCGGGGCCCGGGTCCAGTGCCACAGAAGTCACCTCAGGCCCTCGAAGCGTCGCTTCGCTTTCGCTCTCGTCCTTTCACCTGAACTTCTGCCAATTCTGCCAAGCAGCCATCTTGCCTTGCCCGCATTGCAACGTCCACATGGACCTACCGCTTGAGATTTTCAGATTGCCCAGCTTCTGTGGCTCGTTTGCGCCTGCCAGTGAGTGGACTGAACACGCGAGCGCAGGCATCTGCGTGACCACCTCAGGGCATGCAGAGACAAAGGGACATAACTCGCGACTCCATACCAACTCAGCACGCAGCTGACAGCGATATCGCTGCTGCGATGGCAAGCAACAGCCAGGACTGGTGCGGCGTGGTCCTGTCTGCCATGAACTCACGCCCAGCTGCCCGACTGCCCGGCGTCCGGCCGCGCGTCCTCCCTGGTCTTCGCATTGGCCCGGTAGGCTGCAACTCCTTGCCTGGGAGTTGAGAGTTGCGTGCGGGCATCACTCTGACTGAGTCCCGGCTCGGCATCCATGGCGCAGCAGCTGCTGGCCCAACCTGGGAAGATTGGGCAAGGCTATGCAAGGCTTAAGATATCTTAAGATGCCTCAAGGCGCTTCTTGGAAGTGAGGCCAGGCCTTGAGGCCCCTTGAGGCCTTCAGGCCCGGACTGCCGCAGCACAGCAGCAAGGAACTGCTGCGAGGTCCCCAGGCGATGCCTCGATCGCACTCGCCGTTCGCCGCTTCTGGCCAACTCTCGGCCTGTGACAGGCCCAAAGCCATCGCTCGGGAGGTCCAAGGCTTGCAGCGGCGCTGCGACACCTCGGACTTTCGTGCTTCAAGCTGCTTGTGTTTCTTCTCGGTGCCCCTGGGTCAGGGATGCTACACTTTGATTCGCATCCAAGATCCAACATGTTTAAGGGTTTTTGGGAGCAATCTTGGATCTAGGGTACAGATACAGAATTTAGAAGTCTGAATGCGATGTTTATTCAGAGGGAATCCATGAATGGATCCAAGATTGCTCCCAAAAGTCGTCCACAAGTTTTGGATCCTGCTTCCAGGATCTGGATACGCATCGGACAGAAAATGAAGGAACCGGCTTCAGCTTGCCAGATGCTTTCATGCGCAACCATGGCCCTTTGTAGTTGTGGTGATTATTTCTGCAGCCACCAGCCCCCTTGCGCTTGCCTTTCTTTGTTGTACCATGTTGCTATGTCCATTGGCGCTGGTCCTTCGCGGTGTATACATGGATGTATTTCAATGTGAAACAAGTACAACATATATAATACATTATAACACGTGATCCTGGAAAAATCCCAAAGGCCCTTCCGCTTGGCCCGGCGCAGCCGTCCTGCGCGGCCTGCCACAGGAGGACCATCTTGTCAGCGCCGGTGCTGGCCAGGAGGCCCAGCTTGGGCTGCAAGTCCAACGCCCACACCTCAGATCTCTCTGGCGTCTGTCGGGCGTCTCGCTCTCTACGCTGTCTAACATCTCTAAACTGGAAACCCTTCAAAAGGTGTCATGCAAAATGACATGTCGGGTGCGGCATCTTTCAAGATGACATGTTCGGAATTGGCACCAACAGAATAAGCAAATCATGATTCAAGGGAATACACCATCAGCGACATGGCCAAGGAATAAAATAGGTGAAGACTTCAGTCGGGTGAAAAATTAAATCATTACCTCTCGACAAATGAAAGAAAGCTCAAAATAATGTGATCCAGTGAGTGACTCCATTTTTTGGATGGTGCTTTATGTGTGCAACACATACGGAACAATAAGTGGGAGGTCAAATTTGAATCATTGAACCACTTAAATCTACATTTGTCATGATCAGGAGAAACTGTGCTGCCAGGTCCGCAACCAGGACACTTTATCATTCATGAAGATGATGGTCGAAATCATGCTCCGGTGGCATCCCCGATCAACACTAGCCCAGAGCCCAGTTCTTGACACACCCGCATGACCAACACCAGCAGTATCACAGTCAAAGACGAAAATGGTTGTCCTTTGGCACCTCTTTCAGTCAAGTTAACTTCGTCCTTCAAATGCTTTCTGAAAACGGTCCTTCATTTTGTCAACTCAAAATATCCAAAACTGGACATGGAAACCAAAGCTAACCGTATGGTATGTTGATCATGGATTGGCTAGAGAATCATGGTGATTTGCAAGCGACACCCAGCCTTCATATTTATGGTGCCCATGGTCCAAGGACTAGGACGGCCGGTGGCCTATTGCCCCCCACAAATTCGCCGGGACTTGCCCGCCGAAGATAGACACACCGCCAGACCCGTGCGAGCAAGCATCTGCCGGCCTTCCGGAGCCTTGAGCTCCTGAGCTCCTGAGCTCCGGGCCGAGTCCCTATGTCCGCGGAAGCGTTGCAGGTGACTCATCTCCTCGGCACTCAGAGATCTCACATTCTCTCATCTCAAGTTCTCGAGGTCGAGGCTGAAGGGCACTCCGACGGCAACATCCTGACGGAACATTGAAATCGAAGGATCGAAGGATCCAAGCAAATGTAAAAGTCATATCTGGGGAGGGGGCACTTCGAAGGAGTAAATGTCGCCATCCATGCCCCCGCTGAAGCCCACGGGCGGTGCATCCTGAGAGACTCACGCTCTCAGAGCTCTCAGACTCGGCATCTTTCGGCTTGCCTCTGGGAGAGCCAGTGCCAAGACTGGTCCGGTGTGGGCACCTTCAACATTGGAAACAAGCAGAGCTAGCCGGCACTTGGTGAATTTGTCTCAGCCGGCCGCGATAGACTGTGAAAGGCTCCCAGTCATCACAGGGCGCTTCGCTATTCCTGGCACTCCCGACCACATTACGTCGCTTCCGGCGAGACTCGCCTCCGGAAGCCTGAGAGGTCAACAGCCTGAGACTTTCCATTCAAAACAGAGACTTTCCAAGCAATGCGACCCCACCTTGACCGTCGCGTCATCGCCAGCAGTGAAGAGTACGCCTGACAGAACACTGACGCGAGTTCTTTTCAACTCAGAAACACCAGCTCCTTGGCAAATTCGCGCGTTGCGGACGGCATTCGGGTGCGAGATGAGGGTTGCCACCTCATGATAACTTCCGCGCTTCCGGATTCCGCTGGGCTAGGTGCCATCCACTCTCTTGGCGCCTAGCGACTTCCCACGGCTCCTCACAGGGCGGCGAGTGGGCCAAGTTGGCCACGTGGGCTGAACCCCGCCCGGTCGCGCATTGCGCCGAAGTGAAAGCCTTGCAACACCCACCACCCAATCGACATGTCCGGACCCGCAAAATGCTTGATTTCCAACCCTGCGTTCGTTGTTGGGTGCAAAGCCAAGCATTTCCACACTCCCGCCTTCTGGGCTTTCAGGGTGGATCTCATTGCGATGAATCTCCTGGGAAATCAAGCCCAGCACAGCCCGAGGCCGCTCTTGCCACTCCCCACCTTCAGAGACAAATGTTCCGGCAAACCAGCCTCCGCCGGTTTCGCCAATTGCGGCATTGACTTCGTGTTCCCGCCTTGTGCAGCGCATGGTAAGCCTTGGCTTCACTCCAGCTCTTGCGCCTGAGTGGGTCAGGAAGCCCAGCGACCAAGGCCACGCCGTTTTCCGAGGATCCGGCACGCTCGGAATGCGAAGTGCCAGGGAGCGCCAGTCCTCCAGCTGGCTGCGCGACAGTGCAGCTGACATTCTTCGCATTCTTGGGGCAATGTCAGGCGCAAGGCGCAGCTGCAAGTGAACTCGTCAAAGGAAGTTTAACAAGAAACTTCCGTAGTACTGGAACTATGACAGATAGCTGTAGTCACTTTTGTGGTTTGAGCGTGTGGCACACCTCGCAACACGCCACACATTTCCCAACATACCCAGGACGCCAGAGATAGTCAAGCGGTCCCACACGTGTTTTCAGGAAGGGCCTTTAACCATCACACCACAACAGCAAAAGCAGGCATGAACCAATTCAGCTTGTTAGATCTTGTTCGCTAATAGCGTCTGACTTCTCCGCCCCCGCTGTTTAGGGCGGCTTCGCATTTCGGCCCGCCGCTGGCGCCATGGACCGCTTAGACGCCAGCGCAAGTGAGGACCACTTTCAGGTTCTGTTGGCTTACCTGGCCGCCAACACCACAGCTGCAGTGCCCAGACATTCCCGCTCTTTTACGCACGGGCCAAGCCAGGCAAGGCAGGCTGGCCATTCCAGAACGGGCAGCCTTGCACCGCTTCGTGGGGAGGCTCGGCTATGTGTTTCGCCAGAGCGCGCAGCACAAGCAGCGCAGTTTGCCGAGTTCACGGCCCTGCTTGAGCGGCGTGCAGATTTTTTCAATCACTGCGCAAGCCGTCTTTAGAAGCATGCTTTGAAGCGCACGCAGTGCAGAAGGATAAAGATGGACGAGTTGGCCGAGTGGGAGGCCATGCTTTGTGACGCTGGCAAGGGCGAGCGTTTGGCGTTTCGGCCGGCGCTGCAGCGACAGCTGGAAAAGTTTATCGCGGTGCTCGAAAAACGAGCTGAGTATTTCCAGAGCTTGCAGAAGCCTTCGCTTAAAGCTTTGTTTCAAGCGCACGCAGCGAAGACCGACAAAGAACTCAAGTTCTGCCAGCACTTCATGGATTGCTGCTACCCAAAGCTTTCACAGGAGCAGAAGGACGAGCTGGCCGAGTGGGAGGCCATGCTGTGTGAGCCCGGCGAGGGCGAGCGGAGCTTGCAGAAGCCTTCGCTCAAAGCTTCGTTTGCAGCACGCGCCGTGAAAGACGATAAGGAACTCAAGTTCGGCTAAAATCTCATGTCCCGCTGTTACCCAAAGCTTTCGCAGGGGCAGAAGAACGAGCTGGCCGAGTGGGAGGCCATGCTTTGTGAGCCCGGCGAGGGCGAGCGCTTGGCGTTTCGGCTGGCGCTGCAGCGGCAATTGGACCGATTTGTTGCCCTGAATCTTCTCTTGGCATGCTGTTTCGCGCTGCCCGTCGCGGCCGCGACAAGGACTGGAGGTTCGGCTACGAGTTCGTGTCTCGCGTGCTGCCGAAGTTGTCAGCGGAGATGGCTGCGCAGGTGCAGCAGGCAGCAGCCTCTTGCTTGTGAGAGGGCGGCGCGCAAGGCTCCGCGCGAGCCCAAGCTGCATGTCGAGGAGCGCGTGCTCGGCAACGACTTGCCTCGCCCGCGGCTGCCAAGATGCTTGCGGCAGGAGCAAGAGTTTGCGGCCTGCGAGTACTGCGAGGAAGGGTGGTTCGGGACCACCCGGCCACGCGACGCCCTGCGCCGGGCCAGATCGAGACCGATACCTTTAACAAGAGCAACTTCTTGCTCGCGCCAGAGAAGAACTGGCTGGAGCCCGGCAAAGCAATTTGCCGCAACTGCCTGTCAGAGGCTATGGCACGGCCAAGGAAGGGCTCACCAAAATGCCCGTCCGCTTCACTGCCGAGAATCACGCAGACCCGGGCGAGTCTCTGGCAGAGACCGACGCGCTCACCTTCTTCAAAGAAGAGCTGCTATCGCCGATGCAGCACATCGTGCGCATCTTCACGCTGCACGCTACTGGGCAGTGCGAACTGCGTGGCCACGTGGGCAACTTGTTTCAGAATGGCCCGCTGTATGTGCGGCAGATCCCGGCCCTTGTCGGAGACATGAAGATGCTCTTGGTTCGGCGCTGCCCGAAAGACCCGCAAGCAGCGCGTGCTTTTTCGCGCCAGCGCGGAAGGCGGCTCGCTGGCGCTGCAGCCGGGCGCGCTCACGCCAGGCGGCAATGGGACCTGGTGGGCCGCGAGAACTTGGCTCAATTCGAAGACGGCTTGCAGGTGACTGTTGTCGAGCAGCAGGAGGTCACCAGCTTGGGTTACAGCTTGTTTGCCATGTGGCTGAGTTCTTCCCTGGAGCTGCAGTTGGCCGCGGAAGTGAGGGCGCTACACGAGCCGGCTGACGTGGCAGATCAGCTCCAGCGGCAGCAAGCGACATGGAATGCACTCCGTCGCGCGGTACGCAGCTTTGTTTTTGACGAGGAGCTCGGCTCCCCGACAGCGGCTGCGGCGCCCCGACGGGCGACCGGCGACCGATGGCTTGCCGCTTCGGGCAGCCGGCCGGATGCAACCGCGCGCCAGGACTCAGAGGAGCAGAATGTCGCCTCAGACAGCCTTGGCGACGGAGGGCTTGCCGCTTTGGGCGAGCACCACGGAGAGACTTACTCATAGCGGACTTGGTAATGTACCTCAGGTCCGTCGTGGTGTGGAGCGGCAAGTTTTCCGTGGAGGAATCAAAAAATCTCGCCGGCCAGCCAACCGAGACGACCATGAAGGACGGTCTCTGGCAGGCGCTGGAAGCGCGAATGCATCTGCGCCGCAGATGCGGCTGCTCGCTTTGGCGCCGCACGCATCCCGGGGCTCCCGATCCTGGACCCACCGACGGTGCAGTCTCGGAACCAGCTGATCAGCCTTACTACATTGCCGCCGGCTTCATTAAGCTTTTCCCCCTGGGACGAGGGGACTACTGGGCCCAGGTGCGGGCCAGGCAACAGGCCGGCGTCCCTCTGTCGTTCTGGAAGTGGCTGCAGCACTTGCTGCTGCATGCGGACGGCCGGTTTCAAGCGCACCCGTGCTTCTTCTTTGCGCTGAATACGGCCTTGCGCAGCAAGGCGCTGCGGTCTCGCAGCACTTTGTGAAGCGGCAGACGGGCATGAACGCCAACGTGCCGCACACCTTGAGGATGGCGCAGTTCACGAAGATCCTGACCGCCTTCGAGCACTCGCTGCCGTGCTCCGCGCAGGAGAAAATCCATCAGCGCTCCGATTTGGAAGCCATGGTGGAGCAGATCGAACAAGACACGTTCTGCTGGATTGCCGGCGCTTCCTTGATACTATGAAAGTGCCTGGTGTGTCCCGGGTAAGCCAGCGAAGCGCCGGACGCGTCGACGCTTCTCGTTTCGGAGGGCGTCGGCCGACAGCTGTCTGCCGTCCGCGAGGACACGGGGCTTGCCGCCTCGGGCAGCCCCGCACACGACCTCGGGGGAGTCGCCGCTTCTCGCTTTGGGGGGCGTCGACCACCAGCAAACTGCCGTCCGCACGGACACGGTGCCGCTTCAGGCGGCCCTGCGCACGGCGTAAGAGAGTTGGCCGAAAAACTGAAACTGCAAGTGCTTTTGCAGCGATGCAAGGTGGGGCGTGAGATTCCGTGTCACTTTACGACCTTAACGACAGCCATCACTGGCCAGACTTGCGTGCGTGGTTGAGGAAATGCGACGCGTCACCCAGCGTCGGCAAGGACGCGCAGACCCGGTAGAGCCGGCCATGGCTCGGCTTCCTGAGAGCAAGCGCTTGGTTTTGAAGTATCCCGGTGTCGTTGCATGGTACACTGCGTGCAAGATGGAGCTCTTTTACCAGCACGTGCTTTAGTACAAGGCATTTTTGAGTGAGGCGCAGGCGGCATCATGCATCTGCACTCCATTAACTTCGGCAGCAAGATGCCTCGCGTGGACCCAGCGCGCTTCTCCGCGCAAGACTTGGACGCAGACGGCATGCAAACTGCCGCAGAGTTTGCGCAGGCACACGAGGAATACTTGACTGATTGGAGCTTGGGCAAAGCTGAAAAGTGGCAGCGTGCGGTAATGGACCGCACGCGGGCGCGAGTGATCCGCCGACATGGAGCCAGCCAAAGAAACGCGCCTTTTTGAGCACCGCAGCAGCGTTTGGCGCCGGATGAGGACTATGTCTCTTCGTTTCCCCGGACAGCGTTTGGTTGTCGGCTCACGGCTGCGGACAGGGCCGTCTTGCGCGAGCTCGACGCCTGCCTGGTGGACCAAAAGTGGCATCCGTGCGCCATCGCCGTGGCGGCCAAGGCGCTCCTGATGACCATGCAACAACTGTCAGCTGCTCCGCGCCGCGCGCAGAAAGTGGTACCGTCGGCTGACAGAGGCGTGCAACTTGCACGACCGTCACGATGGGCCGCCCGTGGAAGCGCCGCCGCTTCTGGCTCAGGGCCCGCCAGAGGCAGAGGGCGAGTCGTCGACGCGCAAGCCGCCGTGGCAGCCACGGCGCGCATTACGACTTTCAACATGAACCAGCGCAGCCCTGACGATGAATTTGCTGCCGTGCTGCCCGAGATCGACCTTGTTTGTCAACAGGAGGTCACTCCATCGTGCTTGAGCGCCTTGCATGCCTTAGCTGCGGCCAGCGGCTTCGCAGTTAGCAGCCCGTTGCAAAGGGGTTGCTGCAGCGAGGAAGGGTTCGACGTGTGCGTTCTCTGCCGCCTCGACTTCGGCCGAGTGATGCGGGCATGCGTGTCGCCTGTCGCCGGGCCCAACAGCAGGTTCATGTTACACGTGCTCGTGGAGGTAGCGGCCAATGGTGCTGCGCTGCGCGCTGCCACAGCGCATCTTGCCGCGTCCACTAAGAAGCCTCGTGGCAAGATAATGCAGATATAGGGGAAAGTAAGTAGATAGCCTAGATACCGGACACTTAGTTTGAACTTAGTAACTATGCTTTCTTCTGATAGGAAGGTATTAGAGATAGAAAAAGATACAAATAGATAAAAAAGAAGAAAACAAAAATATAGAGATACAGCAAGATACAAAAAACCACAAAAACAGATTAAACCAATGTAAACAAGATAAACCAGCGTGAAATAATGGAAAAGAATTTGCGGGCTTTGCAAAGAAGAGGTTTGGAGCGGGCCGCTTTTTCCAC